TTAATTTAATATCTATTTTAATTTATACATTATTTAAGCATACTTATATTCTATCTATAGTATAAATTTCATATTAAATTGATTTATCCTACTTAAAATTTTAGCATTTAAAGATTGCTGATCAGGTGTTGCGTTCTTTTTGGGAGATGGTGTAAAACATTGAAAGAATTAAAAGATATACTCTTCAAATATAATATTAATGGTGAGAATATTAATAATTTTTCTTGTCATTATTTGGGCAAACATTTTAGCAATTTGTTGCTAAAATTTCTTGGTAAAATTTATAATAAAAATTCCAGACATGTAATAATTCGATTTTCTACCTATACAGTAGATTCTATGATAGTGATAAAGTATTTAGGTATTGTATTGTATGCATAATAATACAATAATCAATGCTAATAAGACAATCTGCTGTAAATTTATTTTATTCATCTTATATATATTACTTTTCATTGTTCAAAGAATCATTAAGGAAGAAATTCCGAGATAATTAATTTTCCTACAATATGCAGTTAAGATAAAATTATAAGGTTAAGGTGATTTAAACTAGTGATGGGTCTTCTATTCTCCTACAAAGTAGTTTTATTTAATATATATATTCTTTTTTCTGAAAGAAATATATTATATAGTTGAATATATCAAAAAGTAAATAGTATCAGTTAACTTAAATAGATTGTTATACAATGAAAAATTTTGTAATCCTGAATAGATTTAATAAAAACTGTGCATTTATTGCACTTTAACCTTTAAAAAAAAGATATTTTAATTTTTTTATTTTATTTAGAATTATTGTTATATATATATATATATATATATATAATTCATAACAAAACAAAATTATTTTTTTACTAAAAGTAAACAATTAAAAAATCTCATATACCTATAATGTTTTTCAAATTTTATATTAGCAAATATTTAATATAAAAAAAAAAATAAACAACCTAAAAACATTTTTTTTGATAAATAAAAAAAAATAAAGATTTTTTTTTTGAACTTAATATCTAAAATATTTTGCAAATAGAAACAATATAAAAATTGTTAATAATACATATACTTATACAGTATATATAAACATATATCATTTCTTTCTTAAATCTAATATGATTGATATAACTGATAAACATCTTACTTTAAAACAAATGATTTATTATTTTAATTCGTTACCAATTTCATATAACTGTTGCATAATTTTATTTCAAGATTATTTAAAATTTTTATTTAAGGTAGGTATTATAATATAGGCTATAAATAATCATCACATTTATTTTAAAAGAAATATTAATAATTAATCAAATATTTTCTCAAATGTTTCCTATATATAGCCATGAGCTAAAAAGATAATGCTAAGAATATTTGGCAATGCTCAACAAAATAATTTCTTTTTTTACTAAAACAACCAATCAAAAATGGAATTGGTTTAAACTCTATAAGAGAATACTCTACTATAGAACATAATTTGCTGTCCCCGACTGTATATATAATTATATTTAAAAAAATTATTTAATTGTATACAGTATATTTAATTTTTTAAAAAGAATTATTAAAATTAAGGAATTTCGATAAGTCGGACACAACGGGCTGAGTATGCTGTTTGACTTATCAAGAAATCCTATTTTTTAAATACCTAAAAAAAAGGCAGGGATTTTGTCCGACTTATTAAGTGTTCCGCCTGTATACTGTATATTATAATGTGAAAATTTCCTCATAAAAATTATACGTTGCAAAGAATTTTATTTTACTTTTGCAGATTCTTGTTCTTTCTGACATTGCGCATCAAAAGACTTTACAGATTACGATAATAGATATATTACTAAAAAGGAAATCGCATTAAACCTCACGATTTCGCGTAGGACCGTTAATGCGTGCAAAACGTTGGTTGACATTTGGAGTGCCTGGAGATAACATAACAGGGGTTGTTATCCGTCGTAAATGACGCGTAGTCGTATCTGCTAGTCGTATTTGTGTTTGTATCCAAGTACGCAGATATTCTACACGGGCCTACTCATGACAGATCATAATTAAAAAGCTGTCTGTAAAATAATAGTGTAAATTACCAAGTAACTTACTACTAACCCTAAATACCAATAACCTTTTAATGATGCCTTCCACTAAATATAATTCCATCGGTGTGCTGGGAAGTATAAATGATAAATCGGTTTCATCAACTAGATATAATCCTTCATAATAATGCATTGCATAGATAATAAAATGTCTCCCTAAAAAAAAAAAAAGTTTAGAAAGGATAATTCGATAATCACAAACATGTAACAAATCATTTCTTACCATAAACAAGAATTCCAAACGTCTCAAGATTGTTCTGAAGTTGCTTCTCATCATTCATACCATTGCAGCGAAATATTTGTTCTAGTTGAAATAGTGCTAATCGCATCGCCTTTAAAATTTTATCCCTATCCGAGACCATCTTAATATGATCTTCAACAACAGCATTTCCTACGACTTCGAGAATACCAATATATTCTTCGACGCCATTTATGTCAACTGTAAGGATTCCGTCATGATACCAATCTATGTGTTGTCTATCGTCAGAAAGATTCGATAAAATCTTTTGATTTTTTCGATGAATATTTTCAACTTCTCCACTATTTTGAAATATTTAAAATAAATATTTATATCTTAATATGTGAAAAAAAAAAAAAAAGAACTTACGTTTTTAATCGGATATGACAATTAATGTCCAAAAAAAGATCTTCCAGTAATAAATTTACGAACCAGTCTCGATATTGATATTCGCTACTTGAACCATCAATTAGAACATGCTTTGAAAGCGAGAAACATATTAAACTACCAATATAAAAGTTAGTAATAATAAAACCAAAAACAGTAGTAAAAAGGATAAAAAATAAAATAAAGGTACTTACAATTTCCAATACACATTATTCACCCAGTATTCCAACCAGTTTCTTTGAAATTCAAATCCATTTTGAAAATCATAATCAATAAACACGGAATCAAGTTTAACATATCCTCTATGTGTTGCATTCACCAAAGCCTCCCGGTATTTATCAAGAATATTTTCAACCTCCTTTATTGGAGATGAAATCTTAGAAGTAATCTCTTCCTCTTTCTAAACATGAGCATGTACTTAAATAAACCAACATCTCTAGTATCTTGATTAAATCATATATAATCAATCACTGACCTGGCTAAATATTTTTTCTAAAGTTTGCCACTCTTCATAAAATGTAGCACGTGGAATAATATTTTCGGGAATGAATATGACATTATACCGTGCAACTCCTTTACCAACTTCAGAAAGTTTTTTTGCAAGTATACCATCGGTAACCTGTGCAAATTTTGTTAATGATATATTCTATGCGGATTTGAACAATAATCAACAAACCTCTGCGAGTAGCATTTCATTTTTTTCATCGTCCGATATATTATCATCAGTTGACACATCTCCCCCAAAATATGAAGTAGCCTCATACATGAGATTGAGAGCATTGATTCTTCATAATAAATAACAAAATAAAGATGAGTTAGAAAATTAGTAGTATTGATAGCATACAATTAACACGTATTAGTTTAAACCTGACTAAGTTTTTTTTACCTTACCTTATTATATCTATGTCATTATACGGTTGTTCCATTTTGCTTCTATCCATTGGAGAGAATAGGGTTTCCAGCTTTTGGATTCTTGCGTCGATCTCTAGGTCAAGAAACTGATCCCGGAAGCCTTTATATAAATTCTTACATGTTTCCAGGACAATAATGCCTTCGACGGTGCTATCAATTTTTATTAGATCAGCACAGAAGGCACGCACGCTGCCTGGAATTTGTTTAGCACTGGCCTTCACAAGAATCTTAAGTGATCTCTGCCAATCATCATAAACGACTGCCCAAGGTAAGATTAACTTGTCTTCTTCCAAGCAAAACACTAGATAATTTTTAATTCGCCAGTCCTGAGCTTCTTTAGTTTTAAAGTAAGAATGAACACCTTTAAGGTTAGGCGATACAAAATTTGAATATTGTTCGGATTTCAACATTGCAGTCATCGTTTATACTAAAAAGGTTTGTTTTTGATCGATCGTTGATCATAAAAGTAAACATCGCGTAACACGCGAAAATAAATTCCCTGATCACGTCACGTGTGATAATTAGTTATTTTAGCCAATCAAAATACATAATTTTATTAATGGTTCAATTATTAAATATCAAACTGTTAATCATTATTCTCTTATAGCAAAATATCTATTAATAAGTTATTTATTTATAAGTTATTTATAGATTTATACAGTGGCTCTCATAAATAATTTATTACTTGATTAAAAATTTTGAATCTTGTTTTTTTTTGTTTAAAGATTGTTTAATTATTAAATTATTATAATTTTTTTTGCAATTTAATGATGCATTTTTTTTTATGTTTTTAAAAAACAAACTTTTATCACAATAATATACAAGATAATTCATAATTTTTTGAAATTGGTTTTTTAATATAACTTTATTAATAATTATTTAAATATAAAAATTTTTAAAAAAAATTTTAAAAACCTATAGTTTAAGATTATTTAAGAACATTTTTAAAATTTATTATTATTTTTATATCCAAAATTTATATTTAATATAAGTTAACAAATATTGATAAGACAAATTTGCCAAAGTTTTATATATGAGTTATTATAAAAACATAATACAATTTTTAAAAATTTTATAAAAAAACATAATATTTTAAAAACTGTTTTAGTTTATTATATAATTAAAATTTATTTAATTTAAATAAAATTTTATAAACTACTTGTTTATAATCTAAAAAACAAGTTTATTTAAGCTTATCTTATAAAATATCTTAATAAAATTTTTTCAAAATTTTTTTTGAATATAGAATTTATTAATTTTTTTAATATAAAAATT